ATATATATATATATATATATATATATATATATATAGTACAGTTAAAACTGTAAAAATGTGAAATATTATTACAATTTAAATAAATGTTTTCTATTTAAATATTTTTTTTTAAAAGTAATTTATTCCTGTGATCAAAGCTGAATTGTCAGCATCATTACTCCAGTCTTCAGTGTCACATGATCCTTCAGAAATCACTCTAATATGATGATTTGCTGCTCAAGAAACATTTCTGATTATTATTGAAAACTGTTAATATTTTTATGGAAATGGTGAAAAAAAAAATCAGGATTCTTTGATGAATAGAAAGAACGGCATCTATTTATCATCTATAATGCATTATAAAGGTATTTATAATGTATGTTATAATGCATTCTTTTTTTTATATAAATAAGTGAAATGTTCATATTTTCAGATTCCTTGCTACATCATGTGTTTTAATAAATTATACTTTCTAACAGGTGTAACAATGTATAGATAATTATTATAATGTATTATAACTGTTATTATTCATGAGGTCATTCAATGCATCATAAGGTGATTTTATAATGCATTTGCTTTTATCTCAAATACTTTTATAATGCATTATTTTACATTACCGAAATCTTTTCTAACATTATAAATCTTTACTGTCACTTTTGATCAATTGAATGCGTCCTTGCTGAACAAGAGTATTGAGATGATAGTTCTTTACGCTGCTATGCTCCAGCAGGGAACAGCTGTCGCCCATTCCTGAATCCAGAAGAAACCTGTGCACCTTTGACCAAACCGCACCCGTCATTCATCCGACTCTGATAACAGATGTTGTCCCGACTCCACGTGTGTGTGTGTGTGTGTGTGTGTGTGTGTGTGTGTGTTTAGCGTCTGAAGTTCAATGGAACCTGGGTGTCTTGAAATGGCTCATTTACAGTGTTTCAATCTCTCGTTCCTCTCTTCTCTCCCTCCCCATCATCTATGTCTGATCTAGGGAGGTTCTGCTGGATTATCTTGAGCAAGTTTATAAAATGTATTAGTCCAAATTAAATAATTTCTAAAATGCATCAGTTTCATAAGAAAAAAATTGGCAGCCAATGAGATGTACAGTAGCCTACACACAATCGCTGAAATTAAATCTCACTTGTAAATCGCTTTGGATAAAGGCGTCTCTCTAAAGGATTAAATGTAAATAACAACAAATTGTATGTGTGTGTGTGTATATATATATATAGTACAATTTAATTTTTATATTTTTACATCCAGTATGTTTTTTTTTTACTTGTTAATTTTAAAAAATATAATGAAAATAAAATAAGAAAGAAAAGAAAGAAAGAAAGAGACTGACTCAGCATTTAGTAGACTCACAGTCTCAGAGTTTGAGCAGAATCAGTGTGTGCAGAAAAGAGCCGACAGTGATGAGTGAGTGAGTGAGTGAGTGAGTGAGTGAGTGAGTGAGTGAGTGAGTGAGTGAGTGAGTGTGTGAGTGAGTGTGTGAGTGAGTGAGTGAGTGAGTGAGTGAGTGAGTGAGTGAGTGAGTGAGTGAGTGAGTGAGTGAGTGAGTGAGTGAGTGAGTGAGTGAGTGAGTGACTGACTGAAGAGCAAAGACAGATCTACTGAGCGTCAAGAGTGATAAGATGAGAGAGATTAAGATCAGACTCAGAGCCGTCAGCGCATGAGTTTCACTGTCTGCTGGTTAATTAACTGATGTACAGTACTCTCTCTCTCTCTCTCTCTCTCTCTCGTGTGTGTGTGTGTGTGTGTGTGTGAGTGAGTGAGTGAGTGAGTGAGTGAAAGAGTGTGTGTGTGTGTGTGTGTGAGTGAGTGAGTGAGTGAGTGAGTGAGTGAGTGAGTGAGTGAGTGAGTGAGTGAGTGAGTGAGTGAGTGAGTGTGTGTGTGTGTGTGTGTGAGTGTGTGTATGTAAGAGTGTGTGTGTGTGTTCAGACTGTATGCTGTTTCACTCTCGCTTTCTCTCACGATGCTCACTATTAACTCGGTAAGAATTTAAAGAAGGGCTTAAAAACATATTTGTATCTAATTATGTCGACACAAAAATTAAACAGTAATAAAATGTAAAACCAAAATAAGCAAAATAATATAAATTCTTAGGCTATTATTTTGAGGTGAGATACCATGGGAATATCTTCTTACGGCAGTGACTGTAGGACAATTTACAAGAAATCTGTTATCTGCAAGGTGTTCTGCTCCTCTTAACTAGTGACCTTTGCCCTGTGAGCAGTCATTTAACTTACACTAAAGGTCACCTGAGACCAGATTGTGTTTGAAAGACACACATTGTAAAGGTAAAGATTAGTCAATATGAGAAACAGCCAAAGACAGCAAATACACCAATTATTTCAAGCCAGATCAAACAACACAAATGTACCATGGTATGACTATGTATTTTTTTAAATAGCATGCTTTTATCTGAAAGTACCATAGCATTATTTGAAGCACAATATAGTACCATTTAAATCCCATGGAATATGTGTATTGTAATAATCCAACACCATATTAACATGGTACTCCAGAGTAAGGAATACCCTGGTACAGTAATGATAATGCTGGTACTTTAAAAACACACCATGGTACTGGAAATCGTGTATATTAAGGCATTTACATGGTATTTCCAGTTTAATATACATGGTATAGTAATCCAGTTTTTACATGGTATAATCCACTTTTATAACGATGGTCCATCATGTCCAAAATATCTTGATAGCCTACTATAGCTATTTTTTGTAAAGGCCGTTTGCTTTTAGGCCAAGGACGCAATTCTTTCATCACTGGAAAACATAAAGCCAAAATATACAGAAGAAAAAAACGAGTGAAGAAATATTTGCAGTATCTGAACGAGGTCGCTGATAGTCTCTGATGACATAATTCTGCTGCAGAGAATCCTGTTCAAATCTGAGACTCCAGAGCGCGCACGTACGGCGCATCGAGAGCGCGCGCGCCGCAGCGCCCTGATGTTGGTGATGATGATCCGCTGCAGATCTAGACACACAGTCCGTCTTAATGCTTCTGATCAGATATACTCTCTATGGATATCACACACCCGCGACCGTGGAGCCGGTTAACCCCCCCGCGGGGATCAAAACCCAACTAACGTACGACCAGAACAAATCACGCAGATGAAACGCGCACCGCTGTATGATGAAAAACAGATGTTAGCGCGCGCGGAACCCAAACTAGAACACCGTTAGAATTAACGAAGCTGTCAAAGAAGCGCGTTCTCGTTTGACGGTTAGGTTTTTCACATTCGCGATGAGGAATGAAGGAATTGTTTTTTTCCAAATAACGGAAAACGATCCGCCGCATCACACCGTATGAACCGCTGTCCCGTTATTTCTGTTTCTTCTGCTGACATAATTCATCTTTAATACGCTGACCTATCAAATCAGGGATAACTGAACTACGTTTCCTTATGCAACACGAATATTAATATGATACAAATGCTGGTCTTATAGAAGAGTATAACAGCGCTACTTACCGGATCCTGCTGTTTTGTCCCGTTATTCCGGATTATTATGGCTTCATGTGATGTTCCTCCTCCGGTGACGGTGTGATAATAGTTAAAGCTGCCGGTGTTACTAGCGTTCGTGTGTGTTTGGAGGAAAGGGAGGGAGTAGAAGCACGACACGAGTCAACGGGAGGAGGAGGAGGAGGAGAGGACGGGAGAAAGTGACGCCTCCTACTGGTTACGAAGCCTCAGATTTTTCTGCTGTTAAAGCAAAGGCGAAACACGCTTTCTGACGTCATCGCCGTGACGCAACGGTGACCTTGAGTTAAATATGGGTATAGAAGGATCCTACATCAAAGTATTGGAGTGCCTTTTGGATTGAGGAATACACCCCACTTGTTTGTTACCCAAAAAAAACAGTAGCATGAACATCACTGATTTAATAATTTAATCATGTCGTTTGGATTGTCCAGATGTTCATAATGCTCTCATGAGGCCTGTCAAGAACACGTCCTGGTCATACTGCACTACAACACACATTAGATTTTGATTTTGCATAAAGAAAAGACTAAGCCTATTTTTATTTTTGCATTAATTTCATGACAAATAAGCACTTTTTACCCCAAATTGTCATTTACGTAAAGCAAAAAAAAAGAATAATTAAAACGCCATTCACACACAGAAATTATATCTATATCTATATATGATTTCTTAAGGTTATGACAATGTGGTTTTATTTTTTGCACTATTATCATCTCCATTATTATTATTATTATTTAATGCCTCAATATTTGCACATTTGTGACATGCTGTGTTCAATTTATTTATTTTTAAAAACTAGTGTTATTGTATAAATCCACTTTTGACTATTAAACTTTTTTCTTTTTTTGCATATTCTTCTGTGCAGTTTTGCAATTATTTCATGACAAATGAGCAGTTTCTCATTGATTAAATGCAAAAAAAAAAAAAAAAAAAAAAAAAAAAGCATTTTGGTAACCATGCAAAATTATATCTATATATATTTAACTTTGTATATATTTATATATACACATACATATTGTTATTGTAATACATTAAAAATACTGTATAACAGCGATGAGGATCGCCACTGAAAATATTGACAATGGAAATTTGTCAAATCTGGAAGCATTACAGTAAAGAGAATTTGGAGATAAAATGGGCTTATACTGAAAATGCCACAATAATAATTATTAATGGCTTAATTTTCCTTGTGCAAAATATATTTTCTGCCTGTTTCCTAATAAGTTAGTTTAATTTCATTCATTTTTAATTGATTTTGAGGTGAAATATGACCCTTTTTGAGAGGCTACATGAGATTCACCCACATGCATAAAATGTGTTGATTGTTTCTTGAACCTGTAACAGGAATAAGGACCATTTGAGTGCTACATCGTGTCTCATTATGAATAAAGCTGCACACTGTGAGTTATTGAGAGGCACGAGAGAGAGAGAGAGAGAGAGAGAGAGAGAGAGAGAGAGAGAGAGAGAGAGAGAGAGAGAGAGAGAGAGAGAGAGAGAGAGAGAGAGAGAGAGAGACATCATTCAGACTGACAGCTGATCTGAGACCTGTGAGAAGAGACACTGTATGTCCATGTGTGTCATTATTGTCTCCAGTGCTGCTGTTTGTCATGTTCTTGGCATCCACTCTCAGCACGATCGTGTGTATGTGTGTGTGTGTGTCAGCTGGACTGAGGGTCTGCAGAGGTAGCTGGTGTCTCTAGCCCGACTCGCTTTAGTGATTCCTCATACTTCCTCTTTCCCAGAGTCACTACGTCCTCTACTTCTTCCGCCAGGTCCCGCCGGCCACTGTCCACCAGTGCTTTCACCAGCCGCTGCACCGCCCCAGGCCCCGCCCCCTGCTGCCCTCTCGCCCAATGAAAGAGCATCGCCAATACCTGGGCCCCAAAGTTGTCCCTGACAAAACAAACACATGGAGATGCCATTTTATTTTTATTACTAAATATAATCGCAATTTTTTGTGCCATTCTTAATTTATTTGTTAAAATTATGTTTCCTGTTACTGTACACAATGTTTGTCATGTCAATGTGTGTACATCATGGCGGTATTTGAGATGCTGTTTTTATTGTATGATTTTAATTTAAAAAAATTATAAAACAGTATTGTTATTGTATAACCCATTTTATTTTGACAATGAAGATTTTTTCACTGTGCATTTTTGCAATAATATCATGACAGACAAGCCATTTACCCCCAAATTATTGATTTTTGTAAACAAACAAAATATTTTTATTTATATATATATATATATATATATATATATATACACACACACACACACACACAATGTTTGTCATGTCAATTAAAGCATGGATGGATATAACAAACCAAATTAAATAATTATATATCTAAATCAATAATATTTTTTTAAAATAATAAAATATACAAAGAAATGTTGTGATGAAAAAAATTAAAAAAAGAAAAGTGAGCATAAATAAATAAGGCAATTTTGCACTGATAACAGTTAAGCACTTTTAACCCCCAAATTTCATTAACGTAATCAAACATTTAAAACGGCATACTCATAATTATGTATATATATATATATATATGATCCTAAATAAATAAGGCATACAATTATTCATATAAATGTAACGTCATATGCCTTGAAATAAATAAATGCATTTTGTGCCTCATTTATGCTGACATTTCTTTGCACTTTAATTAATTGCAACACTTCAGAATTAATTTAATTATTCATATTTATATAATTTTGTCTGCTATATTGTTGCTTTATAGAACACATTTATTGATATTGGTGACACTTTATTTTACATTTTCCTGGCTTGTTACACATTACATATACTTACATTAAATTAGGCATAATTACATGCAACTAACCAAACCCTAATCCTAACTCACATGTTCTTAATTAATGTTACTCAAATGTATAATTACAGTGTAACAAGGACACCTTAAAATAAAGTGTAACCTTGAAATTTAAGTTGACTTGAGAGATACCAGGGTGTAAAGACGAAAAGACGAACAGAAAAGAGGGCTATAACACAGAGGGCTTGAGCAAATGAGCGTGCATGCATGCGTGTGTGAATGTGTCCCGTCTCCTGCAGTGTCCCAGATGGCTGACTGATCAAAACCAAACACTCAAAATTCACCATTGTTGTCTTAATTTCTTTCCTCCATCACTCATTTTCCCACTGCCTCTCTCTTTCTCTGTAATGCATTTCCCAGTGATTTTATACCAGCGCAAACATGTCTGTCTCAAACCAATCTCAAAAAACCTGAACTCATGATATTTGGTCCTGAAAACGGTCCTAAAAGCCTCGTGGTCAATGCTCCGACATTGAGTTCCAGTCCCGGCTCGCAACTGTTCCCGATTCTCTCCCCCTCTTCTCTTCCTGTCAGTTCTCTACTATCCTATCTCAATAAAAGCAAAGAAAGGCCAAAAAAAGCTCATGAATATTAATGAAGTCATACTGATCTGGCTTGGTATTAAAGGGATAGTTCACTTTTAAAAGATTTTTTGGTATGTTTTAGCTTACCTCAAGGGCATCCAAGATGTAGGTGTCTTTTGTTTCCGCAGTAGTTTCAATTTTGATATTTTTAGGTCAAACCGTTCTTGTCTGTCAGTCATATAATGCAGGTCTATGGTCACCACCTCAAAGAGCATGCACAGAGAAGTCCAAATTAAACATGATTTATTGACTCGTAAATGTAAGTACACATTGATGGCCTAAGACACGAAACGAGCCGTTTGTGTGAGAAAACGAACAGTATTTACACTCACCGGCCACTTTATTAGGTACACCTGTCCAACTGCTCGTTAACACTTAATTTCTAAGCAGCCAATCACATGGCGGCAACTCAGTGCATTTAGGCATGTAGACATGGTCAAGACAATCTCCTGCAGTTCAAACCGAGCATCAGTATGGGGAAGAAAGGTGATTTGAGTGACTTTGAACGTGGCATGATTGTTGGTGCCAGAAGGGCTGGTCTGAGTATTTCAGAAACTGCTAATCTACTGGGATTTTCACGCACAACCATCTCTAGGGTTTACAGAGAATAGTCCGAAAAAGAAAAAACATCCAGTGAGCGGCAGTTCTGTGGGCGGAAATGCCTTGTTGATGCCAGAGGTCAGAGGAGAATGGCCAGACTGGTTCGAGCTGATAGAAGGGCAACAGTGACTGAAATAACCACTCGTTACAACCGAGGTATGCAGCAAAGCATTTGTGAAGCCACAACACGCACAACCTTGAGGCGGATGGGCTACAACAGCAGAAGACTCCACCGGGTACCACTCATCTCCACTACAAATAGGAAAAAGAGGCTACAATTTGCAGGAGCTCACCAAAATTGAACAGTTGAAGACTGGAAAAATGTTGCCTGGTCTGATGAGTCTCGATTTCTGTTGAGACATTCAGATGTTAGAGTCAGAATTTGGCGTAAACAGAATGAGAACATGGAACCATCATGCCTTGTTACCACTGTGCAGGCTGGTGGTGGTGGTGTAATGGTGTGGGGGATGTTTTCCTGGCACACTTTAGGCCCCTTAGTGCCAATTGGGCATCGTTTAAATGCCACGGCCTACCTGAGCATTGTTTCTGACCATGTCCATCCCTTTATGGCCACCATGTACCCATCCTCTGATGGCTACTTCCACCATGTCACAAAGCTCTAATCATTTCAAATTGGTTTCTTGAACATGACAATGAGTTCACTGTACTAAAATGGCCTCCACAGTCACCAGATCTCAACCCAATAGAGCATATTTGGGATGTGGTGGAACGGGAGATTCGCATCATGGATGTGCAGCCGACAAATCTGCGGCAACTGTGTGATGCCATCATGTCAATATGGACCAAACTCCCTGAGGAATGCTTCCAGCACCTTGTTGAATCTATGCCACGAAGAATTGAGGCAGTTCTGAAGGCAAAAGGGGGTCCAACCCGTTACTAGCATGGGGTACCTAATAAAGTGGCCGGTGAGTGTATATCGTTTTTACCTCTTGTAACCACAGCCAGGTCCAAGTGATCTGAGGGCGCCGGCGCTTCGGTCTGTGCGTTACAAGAGGTAAAAACGATATAAATACTGTTCGTTTTCTCACACAAACCGCTCGTTTCGTGTCTTAGGCCATCAATGTGTACTTACATTTACGAGTCATTAAATCATGTTTAATTTGGACTTCTCTGTGCATGCTCTTTGAGGTGGTGACCATAGACCTGCATTATATGACTGACAGACAAGAACGGTTTGACCTAAAAATATCAAAATTGAAAATACTGCGGAAACAAAGACACCTACATCTTGGATGCCCTTGAGGTAAGCTAAAACATACCAAAAATTTATTTCAAAGTGAACTATCCCTTTAATTCCTGCACTGTCCAGCCATATATGTAATTAATATTCAATGAGTCATCAGTGTCCGCGGATATCTAATGTTGCAATAAACAATCATGGATGGGTTAATATGACACAATTTATGTATAATCTGTTATCACTGTCCTTTTGAAATCTGAAATGAGTGACAACAGTGAATGCCACACAATATTTTCCCAAATATTGTGCATTCATTCTACCACGGCGTCACTGATCAGCAGAATAGTTAAATGGACCTGCTGTAAAATCTGTCCTTTAATAAAGACAGAACTGTTGGCCTCGGTGTGATTTACAGCGCCATCTGCTGGCGGGCTCTTTCACACACACACACACACACACCAGCTCTGATCTGATGCTCACCTGTGTTGGTTTCGGATTCGCTCCAGCTGGTCGTAGCCGATGCCGAGGCTGATGCCGATGTTCTGCCACTCTTGGTTGATGCGTAAGGAGATGGACAGGAGGTTGGTCTGTGTCAGGTAGCCGCTCTCCGGGTCGCCCAGGTTCAGCTCGCCGGAGATGTTCCCATCACAGTCAGCGTTCTGTGTGTGAAAATATAATCAAACTATTCTTATTTATCCATCATAGTTTCAATTCTACAAGCGTTTAGATAAATGATCTGAACTTGAGATTGTTCTCACGAGCTCTGTTGCTGTCTACTGGCTACATAAGCAGCTTCCTAACCAAAAAAGGGAAACTAATAAGTGACTGATTTGAAACATTATTTGTTTTCGAGATCGCTCACAGGAATCCGCAGAGGAAGCGTCGCCATCCACTGGTTGTCGTGACCTTTTCTTTTACTTGCTACTTCCTCTGGAAGATCAATAGGCACTTCACCCCTGTAAAACGAAACCTGGAGGGAAACGTCTTATTACAAGAGGTAAAAGTGATAATCATCACAACAACATCATCATCATCACATCAGATCACATATGAGGTCAATATGCAAAGCTATATGTTCAATGAGATTCCAAAGTGGGAGGAGCTAAACAAACGCTTTGCATTTGAGAAGAACATGAGCTGTGTTCAAAATCCCCCCGTACACCCTTGTTCACTATTCCCTACAGTAGTCCTCAAATATAGTTCATTTGAAGGAGTGATTGAAAACGAGTGTGTGAATTCAGACACTGAGTGTGTCGGAAGGGCTGCCGCTTTTGCATAGTTTCTGCTGTTTAATAATCAATTTGAGGTTTAGCAAACTGGCAGCTCCAGTAGTTATGAAAAGATTAATCTTGAGCTCTGTCATGGAATCTAGCATGTATAAACCTTAATTAAACAGTTTAATAATAAATAAATAAATAGGAATTTATACCTGTATGATATTACGCTGTACCCACATTGGACCAGCGGTTTGGAAAATGGATGGATGGATGATTCAGATGCGGCGCCAGTTTTATTCAGCGCGACCATCACAGTGCATTATGGGTATTCTCTAGCCGTTGAGCGTACTGTACATCTGTTGTACACTCGTTATTGCGGATTGAATGAGCGCACTAGATAACGTCCACTATGGTTTCAGACACCACTACAAAAGGCTGTCCCCTCAAATAGTGCCATATTTAGGGGTATAGGGGGCGATTTCAGACACAGCCATGGAAGACAAGTGAGTTGCACAGCTGAAATACTGGAGTGATCTAACAACCCTGTCTCACCTGTCCTCTCACGGGGCCCTGCTGTGGGCTGATCGAGCACACATGGACCTCTTTAATGTTCTTCAGGTGAGAGTAAAAGGTGAATGAGAGTCTGCCCTCTTTACAGTCAGGACGGTCTGAGGACACAACCATTCGGGTTAACTTTAATATGTTTAACAGTTTGCATCTGTTCATGCTGTATAGGTTGAGGTGTGTTTATTGGTGTCCAGCACCTGCGCTGATGTCAATGCCTCTCTCAAAGCCAGCGAAGAACTGTTCTCCCTCCAGCAGGATACACAACTCAGAAGGCTGAGGACCTTCATACTGCTCCGACAGAGACGACAACCTGCTTTCAGCCTGAGGAGAGACACGAACAAGGACTGCTAAAACTGTAGCGTATCATTTTAATGAAATTAGAGCCTATAATTATTAAGAAGTTCATAGATTGACTTCCTGGAAAACGAATAGCACAGACTTGAATGTGGATTCTTTTTGCATTGCACTTTTCATTACATTGACTTCCATTCATACGCAATGTGAATTTCGCAGCGTTTCAGTGTCCGAAGAAATTTCGCATGCTAAAAAGTCTGTGACCACAGTCTACCCAGACCACCCTAGAAACCACATAGCAACCACACACACACACACACACACACACACCTTGTCAGAGGGCAGGCACTGCAGCAGAACCTGCTCTGGGTCGGTTTTTCTCTGTAGCGCCAGGAATCGAACCCGGAACTGTTTCAAGCGGTGATACATCTTCCTCACAACACCACTAACACACCTGTGAGTGGTGTACCACAACCAGTACCTGAATACACACACACACACACACTGTATATGACAGACTGTATGCGTTTACACTACCGGTCACAAGTCTGGAATAATTACGATTTTGTAATGTTTTTGAAAGAAGTCTCTTCTGCTCACCAAGGCTGCATTTATTTGATAAAAAATACAGTAAAACAGTGAAATATTATTTCAAATTGAAATAAAGATTTTCTATTTGAATATGTTCAAATGTAATTTATTACTGTGATCAAAGCTGGATTTTCAGCATCATTACTCCAGTCTTCAGTGTCACATGATCCTTCAGAAATCACTCTAATATGATGATTTGATGCTCAAGAAACATTTCTGATTATTATCAATATTGAAAACTGTTGTGCTGTTTCAAACTTTTGTGGAACCTGTGATACACTAACATTCAAAAGTTTGGGGTCAGTAAGATTAAAAATAATACTTTTCAGGAAGGAAGCATTAAATTGATCAGAAGTGACAGTTAAGACATTTGTAATGATACAAAAAAATTATATTTCAAATAAATGCTGTTTTTTTATTTTATTTCTATTCATCTAATAATCCTGGAAAAAATGTATCACGGTTTCCACAAAAATATGAAGAGGCAAAAACTGTTTTTAGCATTGATAATAATAATAAGAACCATTATTAATAATTGAGTACCAATAATAATTGATAATAATCATCATATTAGAATGATTTCTGAAGGATCATGTGACACTGAAGACTGGAGTAATGATGCTGAAAATTCAGCTTTGATCACAGGAAAAAAAATACATTTTAACATATTTTTAAATAGAAAAAATGTCTGTATTTTTGATCAAATAAACGCAGCCTTGGTGAGCTTCTTCGCTGCTCACCATGAGAAGTGTGTGATTGAGAAGACGGCGTAGATGTGCGTGACGTAGAGGGACACCTGAGCGGTGATGTCAGTCCAGGTGTGGGCCGTGGGGTCGCCGTGCATCAGGTGCAAACGGGACATGTCCACCATGTGTCCTGAACACACACACATGAACCTAAAACATCCATCAGCAGTTAACATTGCTTTGTTCAGAGCACACTACCATACTACTCATACTAGTTTTGCAGTGTGTAAACTGTGAACAGTTCAGCACCAAACAACACGGTCTCCCGTGACGTGACCTTCCATTTCCATACAATAAATTATGACAGACAATATGTGATTTTCTTGAATTGGATACCACTTGCATGCGATGTAGTGAGGTCATGTGAAAACATTAGCATTTTAAACTATTTATATATATAAATGTGTTTGTAGTATACTTAGTAAAAAAATTATGACAAATACGTTTTAGTATATTTATTTTTCACTAGGGTATACATACAGTATATTTTTTTTATTATTATCTTTTTTTTATAATTTGCTACAACATAATAATAATTATTAAAATATAGTTTAAAACTATAGGGACTAGAACCCTATTATCTATTTGAGTTCACTTTTCAGTCCAGCTACAAAGTCAAAATAAAACACTTACTTTAAAAAAATGTAATATTTTATCTATTTACTTGCATATCACATGACCTTGAACTGACATCAGAGAACTTTGAAGATGCGAAAGTATTGTTAAATTATTGAAATATTAAGTTAATATTTTATGTCTAAGGGGTTCGGCTGACAAAAAATTGTTTGGGAACCCCTGAATTAAATAAAAATAATCATTTTGTGTCATTGTGTCATTAACAAAAAATAAATAAATAAAGACAACACAAGCGCACTTTTCAAGATCTGACGAAATAAAACCAGAGTCTGAGATGCTAAAACAATAGATCTAGTGTTGAAAGTGAAAATAAAGGCTGCTGTATGTAAAAAGCACATTGTACACATTCCTCATTTGTTAAGCAGCATTAATGTCTAGCATAAGTTAAACCGCTGATGTCTGTAAATTTAAATCTCTGGCAGGAATGAGTCTCTAATGAGATTAAGATCTGCGCAGTTTAACAATTAAACCGTTTCCTAGAAAGAAGTGAACGTGATGCAATACCAGTCACTCCAGGTGGAAGAGGAACCTGGACTGTGATTGGCTGAAGGAAGTGCATGCTGGGAGTTTGAGAGAGGCATAGCAGTGGGCTTGCACTGGCTTGAGGGTCTCCGGTCAGGTGTTTCACCTCAGACTGCTCCACCTGCAGGACCTAGGGGGAAAAACTAATATATCAACACAGAATTAAGCAATATGTGATCATAACAGTTAAAGGTGCATTGTGTAATATTTAGGAGGATCTGTTGACAGAAATGCAATATCAAATACATAACTGTAATAAGACCTTACATAATGAACCGTTATGTTTTTATTTCCTTAGAATGAGCCATATCTATCTACACACACCGCATATGTACCTTACGTGTCTTACCCTTACATTGAAATAAACATTTTGCGCCATCGTGTTTCTACAGGAGCCATAAACTTGTTTCGTCACTGTTGTTCTTCGTAGAAGCTAGCTAAAGTCAGCGAATAAAACACTGACAAAATGATGAACAAGTAACAATAATATTCGCAATAACATATCGCTTTACTGATTAATTAAGTAAACCTAATTTCTCAATTTATCTTTGTAAAGAAACCTCATTGCTCAACTGGCTACTCTCTGCTGTCTCAGACGACGACGACATCATTTCCTGTCGGCCACCGTAACTTCTGCTGGTTGCAATTCGCAACCTCACCACTAGATGCCGCTAAAAATTACACACTGCACCTTTAATTATTAGCATCAGTCCGATTAGCTCATTATTAGAAGCAGTGGTTATCTTATTATAGTATATTCTTGAACAGACCTGCAGTGTGACCGTACGTGTCTCTGTTGTGCATTCTGAAGGGAAAGTGAGTTTGATCCCCGGGTGGAATAGAGAAACCAGCAGCGCCCCCTCTGGGGACACGGAGCAACTGTCCAGGAAAGGGCGAGAGACGGCCACGAACCACGAGAACTGCGACACACTGCAGCAGGCCAGCTACACACACACACACACACCAGACATACAGTCAAACCAAAAGTTATTCAGACACCAAAAATGAGATAATAATATTGAGTGAATGCTCTCCGCACATAGAAATACAAATACTTATATCATAAAATACTTTCACTTCAAACTCACTAAATCCCAGGCTCAGCCCATTCAGAAATGCCGGTACTTGGGAAGAAACCTATACATAGGAGCCTGATAAAAATGCTAATAATAAACAAAAACTTTAGACGGACTGAGAGGCTTTTGCATCTGTTCTGAAGTCTTCGTATTTTTACTAGTGTGTGCTGGACACTATAGTTCATTTATGTAAGTGAGGATAGCAAAATAAAGCAATCTGTGACATATTATACCCATAAATCCTTCATACAGTGACTACCAGTGAAAAATTTAAAAATATGCGACCAGAAATTATTCAGACACTTTGACCTAACCATGTTTTGCTGAAGTGTTCTTTCTTTAATTTCTAGTACGACCTTTCTACACCACAGACTGAACTAAATGAAGCATTGCTTGGTAATTGGTTGAGCTAAACTGGTATTATCTAATTGAGTACTTTAACAGCTGACAGATATTCAACATAATTCATTTGTGAAACAGTCTAAATGAAAGGACGGCCAAAACCAGTGAAATATCAACTGATTTGATAACTCTGAGTTCTTGTCATATTTTATTACCATTTTCTAAACTATAGATAAAACTGTGATAATGTGAGACATGTTGAAGGTGTCTGAATACATTTTGGTTTGACTGTATATGTGTGCAGTAATGCTCTCATGATGGTGTACGGCGTTGCAACAATATGAAAGGTAATATTTGACGCGATCTGATTGGCTCACCCGTGCTGGGCGGCCCCCAGGCCTGCAACTGTGTTTCTCACTTCCTCTCCTGGTCAGAGTCTGTAGAGTCGTCCAAGACTGGCCATCAAACCTGCGAACCGCAACATCACCTCTCCGGGTTTTACGATACGGGACGCACACCTCCACCGGCTGAAAGAATAACAGGGTTATTATATTTTATTTATAACAGTTCATATATTATTAATTATAATAATACTGTATTTTATTCATTTATAGTTTTAACTGTATTAGTTATTACTTGTAAACCAGCTTTCTTTCATTATAAAAATTATTATATTTAAAAAATATTCATATATTTATTAATTATAATATTTAATGTATTGTTTTATTCATAATATTTCATGTTATTAATTATAATTATAATTTAATTAATTTATTATTAAAATTAAAATTATTTTTTAACTGTATTAGTTATTACTTATAAAACAGGAGCTTTCTTTCACTATAAAAATATTATAATTATTATATTTTAAAAATATTAATATATTTATTAATTATAATATTTAATTTATTGTTTTATTCATAATATTTAATGTTATTAATTATAATAATACTGTATTTTATTAATTTATAGTTTTAACTGTATTAGTTATTACTTATAAAACAGGAGCTTTCTTTCACTATAAAAAATATTATAATTATTATATTTTAATAATATTCATATATGTATTAATTATAATATTTTATTTATTACATTCTATTTATAATAGTTAATATGTTATTAATTATAATAATACTGTATTTTATTAATTTATAGTTTAAACTGTATTAGTTATTACTTATAAAACAAGATTTCTTTGACTATAAAAATTATTATAATTATTATATTTTATTAATATTAATATTTATATTGCTGGCAACTCGATTAATCGCATCTAACATAAAAGTTTGTAAATACTTTTATGTTAGATGCGATTAATCAATTTGACAGCACTATTTATTAATTATAATAGTTAATCATATATTTTTTCGAACATTTTTCATATATATTAATTATAATAATACTGTATTTTATTAATTTATAGTTATTAACTGTATTATTTTTACATCATAAAACAGGAGCAAGTATTTATATTTATATAAATATAAGCAAAAAATGACAACCTTCTCAAATGTGGCTCCATGTGGGCGGAGCTCCAGCTGTCGACTCAACAGGATGTCATGCTCCTCTAGCCACACCCACTTCCTGTCTGGCCTCCTCTCCGCCCACTGGAGTTGTGTGACCGTGTTTACGCATCTCCGTGGAAACAAGAGCTCCGCCCCTCCAGGAAGGAACACGTGACAACCAGCAGGTGATACTTGAAAACTGATGAGCAGAGAAGACTTATATTCAGAACATTATAGAAAATACACCACAAACTATTTTTTAAGTAGTATATATATATATATGTATATACTGTATGATGTAGGCCTATACATATAATTACCCTGAGCCCCTGAGGAACTCTCTGCACATCCCTGAATACACCGGGTTGATTTTAATAACTTTAATGTACTTGAAGTGTGCACAAAGCACTAGGAAAATACAAGAATCCAAATGCAGTTGAGCAACTTCCTCTTCTAAAACAGTAGATGGCGCTAAGCTAAGGGATTAATAGCGCTAGTCTCCCGGGAGAAGCACTGATTTGCTTGCCTTTGCCTACAGCTGAGGAAAATGAGCGGTGAACAGTGAGTTTCTGTCTTACTGTATCTATAATAAACATTTTGAGGTTTTCTTTTGCAAAATGTTTATTACATATCTAGACAGAAATCCACATTAGCACTTCACTTCACTCTCTCTAGGATAGGGGAATCTATAAGCTGAAAGTTGAAAATCATATGTTGCTTTTTACATTTTTTCTACATTGGACGCGTGCGAAATGACTAAATTAGTGATTATGTCTACACTGAACGAGTCTATTTCTGTCGTTCTCATATGTTGTCTCATATCTGTGTAAAATCACAGATCTAATTACCTTTTTTTCATGTGGCATTTTGTCCTCAACAATGTTAAACAAACAGACCCAGTGGCCTTGTAATAAACATTTTGCAAAAGAAAACCCTCAAAATGTTTATTATAGATACAGTAAGACAGTCATTTTCCTCAGCTGTAGGCAAAGGCAAGTGCGTTTCAAATCAGTGCTTCTCCCGGGAGACTAGCGCTATTAATCCCCTAGCTTAGCGCCATCTACTGTTTTAGAAGAGGAAGTCGCTCAACTGCATTTGTGAGAAAATCTGCAAAATGCTGGATTTGTTTATTTAATTATGGCACATAATTCACTCCATATAAAAGCTACATAAAATTATAATGAGAACATAATTTATAAGTGTGTGCTTTTAATGGTGAGACTTTTGTTTTTGTAATCAGGCTCTCAAAAATGATATTAAAATTTGGATTTAGATTTATCGGCCAATCTATCGGTTACCTGCTTTTAAATATAAAGAATTATTGGTTATCGGCCAAAATGTTCATATCCGAATAGTAGTATGCCATCCTGAAAATACCCACAGTGTGTACTAAATCTGAGTGTGTTTGTTAGATGAAGCTGGGCTCAACTCACCTGTGCTGCTCCAGTCCGAGGTGCAGATCTGGGGTCTCAGAACATTCCAGAACTATAAAACACAAACAGTGTCTCGTTGGGATCAAACCGGCTTAGTCTGTTCCGGTTTCATTCCAAAAACATCCAGAATACATGATGAAATCCTAACAGATCATATCTGTATGATAAACACTACATTACAGTAACTGATGGTGAAGTAAAGCAGTGGCGGTGCGAGTTGAGAGAGACCTGGGGTGACGAGAGCGAGCGGCGGGGGCGTCGGGGGGCGGCCCAGCGGGTTGTTCCTCACGTCCAGTTTGTCGAGCAGCGGGAGGGAGTGCAAACATGCTGGAACAGTCCTCAGATCATTACTCTGGATAACTAGCTGCCTCAGAGAGCGGAGAGATCCTGAGACACAGATTTAGCCATCAGTCAGCCGTCACAGGGTCACAAACACTACATTTTTCCGCTTAAAAGCTCCAAATCTCACTCAAGATTAGTTGTTTCTGCTGTATCTAGCATAGTTTAAAAAAAAAAAACAATTTGTTAGAGAGTCATAAGGACACATTATCGTTTACACTACAAATGTTAAAGTGTTTGAGTGGTTTGTGTGTTTATTTAGCTAGGGACATCCTCATTTGGAAAAATAATACATAAAATAAATAATTAAAAAAATTATTATAAAGACCTAAAAATCTTGTATAGATTTTATCTTTTTGAATGGCAATTATTTATCATTTTGTCTACTTTGTTTATTATTTATTAAAATATTAATAATTATTCAATATTATTTTAACTCTTTCCTCAGCCAATGTTTTTGAAAAAAGTTGCATGGCCTCTAGAATATTTAGTTGTGTGAATATCTGAATATGCAATATATCAAAAGAAAGAACAGTCTCTGCTTTTAAACAAGCAAAAAATTCTAGCTCCATGCCTTCTTTTTTATCAACACTTGAATGT